TAAGTCCGTTCTGCCTCTGAAGGGGGATTGAGTCCTTTCATTCGGCACATTGATGCTCCAAGTTTCCGATTGACAGTTCCACTACTGCGGCTGAGACTCCTAAATCGAGCTTTCAGTAAACCAATAGCTCTTTCGACGATGGAACGAGCTCTTGCCTGACAATTGTTGTAGGCCCAGAGGTTTCCGGGGGCCCGGGGGCAAAACTAAACCAGAGACCCCTTGAGGCCCATTGGAGGTCCCCCTTTGGACACCTTGATACGTGGTGCCCTGGGCAGATTGCCCCAATTGCTCTCCCCCCCCCCCTTCTGGGCGGCCCTGGTTGTAGGCAACCTCTTCCCTAGTCTAAGATTGGTCAAAGGAGTCATCAGATAACTTCGCTGTGGGTATCCATAGTCTCCCATCAGCCAACCATCTCCAGGAATTTGAAAAAGTTTAGAACTTTCGAGAAACCGCTTTTAAGAAGGAAATAAGAAAAAGATTAGAAATAGCCGTGTTTTAGCACGTTTTAAGAAAAAGAAAAGATTTAGAAGCTTCGAGAAACTGGCCCCAGGAATGTTTTTCAATGCCTTACATCTTCGTTGGAGATACTTGCGCCATTCGCTCTTCTTTCCTTGCTTCAGGAGTGTCATTTCACACGAGTCTTACTCGTTTTTTAATTCCATGGGAGCAGCAGCGAGCAGGGTCATGACTCACAATGCATGGATTGAGTGGATCCTAAAAGCTAGATCCTTATGCCATTTTTGGTCATATTGAGGAAGGGGATGCCTCTTGAAACGCTCACGCATGCCTTGAACCTCAGGTCATTAAGGAAGAATAAAATTTCTTTCTCCTAGGTTCAGTACACGTGATTATCAAGCCCTGGCCGTTCTATCACCAGATGACCCATACGATAATCAAAGAAGTGATTGACGAGAAGAGTGGAAGGAGTCGCAGAGAAGCGTTGAATCAGTCGGAACCCCTTCTCCCCCGTTTCAATTGATCTGGACATGACAACGATCTCTCCCTCCTTCCTTCCCCTCTCCCCCGGTCTCACAAAAGGCCAAGGAGCAGGAGAATGGATTTCGTTTCTCCGAGAAGAGGGAAGATTGGCTGGAAAAGAAAAAAAAAAAATTGTCGAAGAGGACCCCTCCACGTCCCTTCTCCCATGGCGCGATGCTGAACTTCATTCCCCATGAGGCCTCTTCCTCCTCATCTCTACCTCCCTTCTCCGATATCCCGCCATGATGCGCCACGCTCATTGATTCACTTTTCCTTGCCCTTTTCGGCGTATCGAGTTGAACTGGATGAAGCCCGATGGAGGGATGCGATGCCTCACGGCTGCGGGGGTGCAGGGTCGGGGTAGAAGGCATTGCGCATTAGAGACGGGGGGGCTCATCGATCCCCCGCATTTCCCAAGCCATTCCCCTCTTTTCCCCTCCCTCTCTCTCTGCTGTCGGTGTCACACTCTACTCTAATTTCCTTCACGATCGTCTCCTTATCCGTGTACGAGTGTGTGCATATGTGTGCGTGTGTGCGCATGGAAACACCCCGATCGACACTTAAAGCGTGAACTAGTGGAGTTTTTCAATCTTTAGGCTGCCACTGCTTGCTTACCCTCTTCCTCCAATCAGATGCGTGAGATCACTGCGGGACACGGTGCCACTCTACTTACGTTTAGATTTTTTCCCCCGTTCCTCATCGCGTGAAACCTATGCATGATGCACACTACTCGCTGCGGTCTATGAAATAATTCCCGGGTGAAAATATTCCTTTTCGATGCGATTTTCAGGCCTTCCTGCAATGATACTTACCCGCACACCACAAGGGATTCACAGATGAACAAGGGAGCGGGAAATGGGCCAGCCGATGAGTCGAGGTAGAGCAAAACTTGGGTAAATCCAGCTTTCCTGGTCCTGGTCCTGAGGGATTCGTTTCCTTTCCTGTCTAGCCTTCAATATGACTTGCCAGCTTCATTTCCACTCCATTCTGAGCACGTCAGCTCGAGTGTGAGATAGGAAGGTGAAGAACATACTTAGGAATTCAAGACCGAAAATGAAATTTCGCCTTGATGAGTATCCCAAGGAGTCGACCTTCGCAAGTTTGCAACTCCACTTCCAAAAACACTATTCTTGGGGGGAAAAAAACCATGCAAATGAAGCAATGGAAGCAGAGAGGAAAAGAGTGCGTCTCCTAACGGTCAGCATCTTCCCTCAACCGGTTGGGTACTGTGGCGATCGGTACAAATGAATGAAACGAAACTTCCTGCTCCATTGCTCCAATTATTTCCATTACGGAAAAGGCCGAGAGGATGTATTTGATTGGGGGTGGGAGTTGGTCATGGAAACCGTTAGCCGGAAAATACGAGCGCTAATCCGACAGGAAACGAGATCCTGCGTTCGTCCTAAGCTGAACGCTCATTTGGTGGAGGCTCATTGGAACCAAAGAGAGCTGAATGCTCCACATGGTTCCACTCGTTGTGAAGGAGGGTTGCAGCTGTTGGTGAGAAGGGATGGAAAGAAATGAGTTGGAAAGGTCGAGAATGGAAAGGAGGGAAGAGGGGGAATATCGGCGTCTGATCTGCAGACGTATTATTTAGAGGGAATTATTCCAAGAATGTCAAGATCAGCATTTCCTCCGTTCTGTCTGGGTTTTCCTGTCTGGACTCGTTAAAGGAGAACCGGAAATACGAAGCTGCTTATACTAATCACCTCGTTATCCACGTAATATACATATCCTTCCCTTCGTGATAACTGGCTTCAGCCTTGCGGATTATCTCAATCACAGGATTGTCTGAGAATCACCTTGAAAAGGTTTATTGCAAGCATGCAGAGTAATTCTTCGCTTAGATGAAGACTGAGACTTCGTTCGTCAACCAATTGTCTAAATATTTTTCTCACGGGAAACCGGACGAAAGTGGTCCGTTACGTGACGAGATGAAGAAGAAGCCCCTGTGAAGCTAGCAGAGCTTCACCGACATACACTTCATACGCTCGAGTTTAACGGGGCAGCGAACGAGACACCCCGAGAGGGAGAGAGTAGAGGGAGAAAGAGAGGATGGGAGGAGAAAAACGAGGACAAAAGGCGATCGATGACGAAGGAAGGATCAATAGGTCCGCATGTGGCCGAGTATTCTACACTTGTGTGGTGCTTTGTCTCCTCTAATATTAGCTTTGCAACGATACCCCATGTCATTTATTCGCCTGATATTAACGCTTTCCACAAGGACATGGCTACGATGTCTCCGATGTTTATCCTCTCTGTCTCGAACGTCCCATTATCGTAACCATGACCATGATGAACCCGAGGGAAAGCGGATAGAAGCCTGCATTCTCTTTAAAGTTTTATGCCACGTTGATCTTAATTCTGATCTTTCTTTTCTCCCCCCTCCTTCCTGTTTTTTTTTTTCCCCCTACTTCCCTCTCACAGGTATTTTCCAAACGAATGGCACAGATACTGTCCTTGGAAAAGTAAAGAAAACTCAAGGAGCAGAATCAAGAGGGAATAAGAGAGATGGAGGCTGCGAAGGATGCGTAAGTGCGATTCATTCCCTCGTCCTGATCTATGTGCTTGAAAGCGAGACAAAGGGTGGCTCGTGAGAGGATGAGTCGGTGAATGAGTTGTACTTTCTGAGGAAAAAGCAAAAAAGAGACGGAGAAGGCCTTAGTGGCATGGAAGAACATTTCTCCGTTCGGTCACTTCACATGGTCCTGGATGCACTTTTCCTAACGATGTGGGACCCCACGTCAGGAGTGTCGAATTCAATTACAGTGGGCCGGATGGAACCCCGGATACGGGCAACATGCGACCAGTTTCACACTCTGCTCTACATCCTCCCTTGCCATTGTGGCCCTTCGTGCTTCACTATATCATTCATGCACTCGCAATACGGCAAAATCTTCCATTTTAATGCCGTGTGGTCTTACGTTGGCACGCAGGATAAGTCCAGCTTCAAAGACTTCTCGAGTGCTGCTTAACCCTTTGCGGTCCACCAGTGGACATAGTCCGACAATCTTCATGGCGTTACAAATAAAATAGACCGGAAAGGATTAAATACTTTTTTTTTTAGAATCGCTATTCCTCAGGACACAATTAAGACTGGTACTCTACGAGGGATACTACCAGTAGATCCTGGTGGGGGGGGAGTTTGTCTAGACATCCGCAAGAAGCTGGACTCTTCTTTTTCCATGACAACTCATGACTACACGACCAGTGACAGAGAGGTGGTATAGATGTGACTGCCATGGTATAGTAGGAGAAATTCTCTCACCAACCCTATACCATGACTTTGCCGCCTTCTGACTGTCATCTGCAACCTTACAATAAAGGAGCCGCTGTTTTTCCGATGAGCGTAAGCGAGTTCATGAAAGACGTTCCGAGGAGCCTGTCCAGGAACCGTGCAGGCTGGCGACGACTTTGGGCTCTTTGCTGGGAAAAGTGCATCCAGCTTGAGGTGTATGTGAAGTGATAAATAGGAGAACTTTTCTTCGATATCAAACATTTCCGTAAACCATGCTTTTTCTTTGTTACTGAGAAAAATACAACTTATTCATTGGCTGGACTTAGTAGGAATCGAAAAACCAGTTTTTGATTTAGTTTTCATAAATTTCACCCTTTCCATCCCTCCCCTCGTTTCCACGGCGAAATCCAAATTTCAATTAAATATATTTTCTTTAAATTTATCGGGCAGTGAAGGAGTTTTTCATCGCACTAGCATTTCCCGTTTGAAAACGGGAAGTAACGGAAGGCATCGGAATGAAGAGCGGCAATACGAAACGGAATGAACTCCAGGCCTAAGCATTATTTTGCTCCCTAGGCGCAATCCAAGTCAGGCGCAAGATCGCACATTCAACGAAGAGCTCGGCAGAATACTGAGCAGGGAGGCAGAAGTAGTATTGACTGAGCGTAAAACGACGGAGCAGAAGAGCCGGCTTTCCGAAGGAAAAGGGACAAGAGATGTGGATCGAGAGCGCGTTCTTAAAAACTCTTGAGAGCTCTTCCAACAAGCAATGAGCTCCACCAAAATGTTCCAGTATATTTCATCTTAAAATTTACTAGGGAAATGGCATCAGTGCGTATTCGCTCACACGATAGCCATATCCTCAGCCGTATGTACACTGGCGTCGTCTCTATCAAATCGTTGGGTGAACTATGCATACCACCCAAGGTTCTGAAGAGTGAGTATATTTGTCTGTGCGCGAAACAGGTACGAGAAGTCCTCGGCAGCAGTGAAGAGCGCCGTGGAGAAGACATCATCCACTTTGGGGGATTTGGGTTCGGCCATCAGCCAGAAGATCGGCGGGATCAAAGAATCCGGCACCTTCAAGTCTTTCGAAGAGAAAGTTTCTGGAGCTGTCGGAGTCGTCAAGGTCTGTTTTTCTGGGCATTCCATAACATTTGCAACCTCCAATCCCTCGCGGATCATGTGATCCTTCTATTCTGGCGAGCAAATGAATAATACATTTTTTTTTCCCCGGGGAGCGTGCGAGGAATGGTGCCGATAGAGAACGGGTGCCACCCTCTTCTCCCTCTTCCTGGGCACGCGATTGCATGCCAAAACTCTTAGAATCTGAAATAAAAGCTCATATTACTGAATTCACGATACAGTGTAGGCCAAGGCTATCTCTTCGACGGCGGTTCGACGAAAGAAGAGTTGACACCCTGTCTCTTCTGTGAAACAGAGCAAAGTGGGAGGACAGACTCACGAAATCGACGAAGCCCTCAAGGAAGTGGAGGGACACGGACAGCCTCCGCACGAGGCCGATCATCCCGTACAGTCCGACCATCAGCCGGATCCCATCGGGAAACCTCTTGCCTGATACAGTCGACGCCCTGCCCTCGCTTCATCTCATATTTCGTTCTTGACTATTCCCTTCCTTTTTGATCTCTGGTATCGTGGATTACGTGGAACTCAGTCACATGGAGCCGATCCCGCAGATTCAAGGTCCATGACCCCATCGACCCCATGCACGTTTCTGTAGCAGATGCATTGCGGTGGAAGGACGGGAAAGTAAAAGCAGTTACGCTTAGAATCTTCCTCATCGCCTTCCTTCGAGATATCCCTTCCTCTAGTTTCTAGGGTGAGCTAAAACAAAGAGCCTTTTTTTCTCGCCCTATATAACTCATTATCGTGTCCCGATGCCCGCCATAGACGAATATAACCCCCCAACCCCCTGCACTGCATCACGTGTGTGTGACTATAGCAAGGCAATAAGAAATCATGATATACTCTGAATGCCTTTTCGAGAAGCCTGTGACGTTGGATTCCTCCCATATCTCCTCGATTACCATCCAGCGCATGATCTCACGTGTACGACTGCCTACTTATAAGAGTATGACTGCACTGTAGAATTTCCATGTGAAGAGCATGGTGAAAAGACTCGATAGCACATTGTTCCATGAGACTGGCGTGTTTCTTCCTTCCGTTTTCAACCGAATTCCGTGTCTTGAGGAGTTGATTCTTGTTTGCCATCTTTCTAGTTCCAGGAGCATATGAGATGAAATAAACAGCTGCGGATAACTCTCGTTGGAAAGTCTTTTTTTTTTTCTCTTGGATTCTCACCATGAAGTTTATTCATGCGGAGAGCAAAGGCATCATCAAGCAAGGCCAACAGAGATCATAACATGCAGTCACACATTCTCATTTTCCATTCATTTGCCCCTAGAGATCTATACAGGTGAGAGGTATGGTATACCTTGTAAACGGAAAGTAGGTGATTGAAGCGTAGCCGGGGGGGGGGCTGGGGCTCTAGAATCTAACCTAGTGCTGAATAACATCACAGAGAGACAAATATCTAGAATGGGGAACAGAGGGAGGAATTAGGTGTGGAATAACCCGGCCCTTGACCTGGACCTGGATCTCCAAGCCCTGGAAGGGTACCGTAGCCACTCTCGTTTCTCATCCCAGATACGGATTTCCCGGTCAGGCTTTCGTTATGCTTGTTCTCCCGCTGAGGGGAGTCCGGGAAATCTCCTCCCGTCATGGGAGGAGGAGGAGGAGGAGCCTTCCCCATCATGGATCGGGCGTCGTAGATGCATCCTCCGCCTCCTCCGCGGTATTGATGGAGATGATGATGATGAAGGTGGTGATGATGCCCCATTCCCACCGGCCTCCCCGTGTAGATGCTCTGCGATCTGCAAGACACATCTGTTTCTTAGCAATTTTCTCCAACCTGCGACTCGCTTTCAAGCATCCTGATTTAAAATAAAAGCATGATTGAAACAGATCCAGATCACTTCCGAGAATGCAAAAATTACGACTGGCGAACTGCAAAAAATTGTATTCATCTATAACAAACCAGGTCACCCTGAAAATGATTTTATTTCGTTCATGAGAATGACCCAATAAATAACAAACTACTTCTGCTTCTTCTCTGGTGTGAGGATAGAACATGGAATAGGATTTTCTTACCATCTCAAGACAAAAAGTAGGATATTTTTGGGTTTCATTTTATATCTGAACGACAACTTGGCTCAATATCAACATTTTTTCAGCCTTCAGACAATGACCCCGAAATCCTCATTCTAGAATTATCCTAATCTCTCGTCTCGTTCGACATATATTAGTGGCAGCTGATAGCTATGATTCATTTTCACACATAAGCCTCCGTCTGTGAAGAAACGTGCAAACCCTCCCACGAAGTCGTCTCCACACGATCGAGGAGACACGAGAGAAAGAAATAAAGGTGATTTCGAACCTGGATACATGGATGGGCTTGAACGGAGGGCTAGGGAGGGATGGATCGGGTACTTTGCACCACACGCTCTCCGACCGCTGAAGGGAGGACGATCCCTTGAGGCTCTTGGTTCCCTCGTAAGTGCTCTTGGTTCCCTCGTAAGTGCCCTTGGTCCCTTCGTACATGCTCTTGGTCCCTTCGTACAGGCTCTTGGTTCCTTCGTACAGGCTCTTGGACCCATCGTACAGAGAATCTCCGCCACGAGGACTAGAGATGACAGGAGGATCGGGCAAGGGAGGAAGTTCCCGACCGCTCTTCATGGGTGGCAACACTATGGTGGAAAAAAATCAAAATTTCTAGTAATCAAAAGGGCAAAGTCAAGGATGTCAAGTAAATGTTAAAGAATGGGTGTTTTTCGCCACTCTTCCTACCCACAATCAAGAGAGGAAACGAAAACTAAGGATACCTTATAGATCCTTAAGTTTTTTTTTTAATTGCTATCAAATGATGTACGTTTATAATATACATAATGTTATACGGTCATACGAAGGACCTGCGTTGACATCTAAGGAACTCCTAAATGCAGGAGATGTGTGTTTGTCCAAAACGAAGTAAAATTCTGGGAGTATGAAGAATTAGGCTATATGATTCCATGCTGATAAAACCTTCAGCATTCCTCATTGGTCACGTTTGCAAATTACAATCGACAGTAGGACTACTGATCCTACAGAAGAGTTATAACCTGAGCCGCGAGAATTATTTTAGTCAAAGTCTGACTTAGGTCCATGATGCAGATAAGAAAAAGATATCCAACCCGTGGAGTTTCCCAACCCAGGAATGAGGGCGGAATGTAGCCGTAAGAACTCGAACCGTTTACCAAGAAAAAGCTGAGAGACAGTGATGGACGAACTGCGATTAAATTCCCATTTGCAAAGGCTATTAGGCTCACACCACTCGACAATCTCTCGTCTTGGATCGGATTTCTTTCGACCATTCGCTGATAAGTGGATTCCCTCTCCCCATCCAGCAGGTTTCTCGATTTTATTGGTTTCACATGAAGACCCTTTAATGTCTTTACTGACATACCATAATGTATTGATGTCATAATTTAACCTAATAACAATGACTGTATTGTGATTCCAATCATTCCTATAACGTTGAACTCAAGTCATTCCCACTGGAACATGGAGGATATGCAATCTGATTGCAAGAGCAATGCTTCTAATTAAAAAAAAAGCTATACTTGCAAGTTTAGCGTTACAGTTAAGCCCTATAAACTCTAAATCCCTATCACCGAAAGATAACTCTTAAACTTGCGAGAGTCTTCATGGTCATAGCATAGAAATAACGCGCAGCCGATTGGAGAAATTTGACATGGAATTGGCTTCGGTGAGGAAGTCGAGCCGAGACGATAGTCTCGAGCTCCAGGGAGAAAAGGGAGAGTGGATGCTGCAATCTGAACTTGTCTGAGCTAACGTACGAAGAGAGGAGCAGAAGCATAACTTAATTATGCTTTCTAATTTCTTTCCTTCTAGAACGCCATTTCCATGTTCAGGAAGAACGTGTGCATGGAGGCTGGAGGATAAATAATAGGAATACGCCATAATGAGACCCTGCCATATAGCTGATGAATACCTACAGCATAGGACAGCGAAATCTTGGGCGCGGGAAATCATGATTAAGAAACATGGGCGGATCGAAAGCATGGCAAGCTCTAAGGTGGGGTAAAACACTCCGCCGATCAACGTCTATTAGTCACTGACTCGTTGGCAAGGATTTCAGTCGATTCACCGTTTTATCAAGTGAACACCGGAAAATGCTTGAAAGAGAAGTGGAGACGCTTCATAAGGGACTCACTGGAGAAAGATATGGGGGGTGGAGGAGGATGAGATGGTGCCCTGGAGAAGGGGGAATAGAGGCCAGTCATCAATTTCTCCATCGCGGGTGCCCGACTTTCGACTTCGTCTTCGTCATCTTCCTCGTTCCTTCCGCTACCGGATTCTGTAACAGTCCATCACCTTCATCTAGAATGCCGTATTGGGCCAGGGGTGAGAATGTAAAAAGAGAAAAAGAAGTGTCGCGTCACCTCCATCAACTCCGGATCGGTTCTTTCTTCTCAGGTGCCTCCTGGGATTGAAGAGGTATTCGTACATGCAACCTCCCAGCACCCCTCCCAGGATCGGACCCAGCCAGTAAAGCTGAACGGCGATGGAAGGGATAAAAGTGTCATGACATGGAAGTGAGAAGGGGACGGTACTTATATTGACTTGGTGAGATACAGACCCAGTGAGAATCCCATCGATTCATGACGAAAGCTGGGCCGAGGGATCGAGCTGGATTCATGGATCCTCCCGTCGCAGGGACCTGAAACAACAATTCCATTCAGAAGTCTGAGGAGGGAGCTTCAGATCTAAATAGGTTAGACAACAAACCACGAGCTAAGTGGACTAAATTAGAGGTCTAGGGAGTGTCATGCACCGACCAAGTTCTCATCTCGGTCGATCTCTTGAAATATCGAACCAAGGAATCAAACAGTATTATGGGGGGGGTTATGTGAGATGAGAAGCCCAGATCTTCCTGCACTTCCTCTAAGTGAAAGTCGGGAGATTGTTTTTACCTCTTTGGATGCACGGATGGATGTTTATCCAACTCTCGGCAGCTATGAAGAGTTAAATTATTACATATGGCATGTGGTACGTAACCAGGCAAATGAGGATTTCGTTTAAGCAATGGTCAAGTCTAAATCACGGGGAAAAGTCGGTTTAAAAGAAACAGGGCCTACTCTTCCATTCTCCGTTAGAAACCCTAGGGAATATTGCTGTGAACATTGGCGTAGAGATAGAAAATGGGAAAATAAGAGTTATGTTTGGAAATATGGTACAGCCACAGATAATGTTGAAGTAAGAATTGAAGGTGTACGCTCAGAGAGGGCTGTATGGCGTCGGCGGCTGCTTAAATGCCGAGACTGTTTCCTCGAACGTCTCATGATCTCCTGTGATCTCTGATGGGATACAATCCCCTTATAGACAAGACAGAATCCCCTCTGAGATGGGATACAATCCCCACTTTTCCGGAAGAACGAACGCGGAAGACATTTCGTCTGCTACGTGATTGCATGTCGTTTTCCCCCGGTAGGACGACAGTCAACATTTGATTTTCTGATGGACGCAGCACGAGCACGTAGAACATATCGTGTCTTGAATAAGAGTATTATTAATACTTAACGTTCAGCTTAAACGTCTTTTGTTTGCCACGTCATACACGAATGAAACCGAGAGGTCGAGGCGAGGCCTTCTTCACCAAGAGTGACTTGAAATTATCATACGCAGACTTATTAAAGGCCATCTTGGAGAGGCAATTAACTCGCTCCATCAAAGAGAAATCAATGGAAGGTGACCCATGGATTGCATTTTTTTCGTTGTCGATGCAACTCTATCGATTGTTACACCGGGGACGTACAAAAAAAAAGCCACGGAGTGGAAGGTGATCTCGAGCTCACTCGGCCCTTTGGGAAGGAGGAGGCAATCATGTCCGTAATATCCCTCGAATGGTCTATTACCTATATCCAGCCATAGATGAGAGAAGGTGGAGAACCTCTCGCGCAAGTGGCAAACATGCCACGAGAGCCATCTTTCCCATTACAGCGTTTCATTCTCCTCATAGCATTTACTGTCACTTTACCGTTCGACGTTTACGAAATGAACTCTCACTTGTTCAGATGCGTTTGTGCTATACTTCATCGCAGAACATCGCGTAGTTCGCGAAACGGCAAACCCTACAAGAAAAACTCTGCAACCAAGTTTCACCTAACAGATGAAATTACAGTTAACTGTCGGTGATACGAACGTCAGTCGCCTAAGGCTCCCGTTAAGTCAGACAAGAGGAATGGTCCCGGCATAAATTCCATAGAACCTGCATTGGAATTGAAAGGTTGCAAGGATATAAGATCTAAGGGAAAAAAGTCGTTTCTCAACTCCAGAAGGAGAGAGTGAAATTCTAGAGATCGCCTTCTTAAATAAATAAAAAAAATCGTATATGGTGTGGTATATGTCGATGGGCCAGTTTTTTTCATCAAACGACTATATTCAATTAAAGGAGAAAGGATCTATATGAAAAAAGAGCCTGTATGTGACTAACTATCAGTTTCTTGGGTATTTTTTGCACGTAGACCAGTTTTTTTTTTCAGACCTTCAACTGCTCGTTTAATTGGAACGCCCTCATTCCAAAGCTCCCGTTTGTACGGATGAGTTCTCCAGTCCCCTGAGCCGTTCTTCCGTTTAATCCGGACTTCCCAGCAGAGGAGATGGAATACGACTGAAAAGGAGCGTTTCCGGTCCCTTTCATGCTTCTCTACTTCACATCACCCCCTGGAATTATTAAGACGGGGAGAAATAAGTCGGATCTCCTTCGTATCCTTTCCTGGAATCGGGTGATGGGGATTCCTCTCGTCAGTGAAACTTTCTCTTACGCTTTCCGGTCATTTCTCTCCTCCAGTGAGTTTCATTAACCGTTGTGATTAGAGCCTCAAGCTTTTAATCTCCCTTGCGTCACGAGTATGCGTTCTCAGCGTGGACTGACCGGAAGCGAAGTTTTTTTGCGTAAATCAGGAAATAAAAATCGGGATTCATTTCATGAAATTGGTCGAAAGACCTTTTGACCTGTCCCATAATCGGTGATCATCATTCGTATGGGGGGGGGGGGGGGGGGGAGAAAGGGAAAATTAGGGCATTCTGCAGTTCTCTGTGAGTGGTGAACGATCATACGGATGTGCCATTAATCTGGACTGAATTGCCGGTCTCCTTAAGTCCAGATTAACGAGAGTTCACTGGATCCAACGCAACGTTTTTTGCCTAGTTACTTAGTGTCTAGTGCTATTTGTCTAGTACCAGACCAGACATTAAGCCTATTTCATCATTCAAATCTTCATACTTTTCAAGGTTTTTTGGAACATCCATCCACCCAAAATATGAAATCTTCCCGTCCATCGCTTAGAAAAAATTAGGCTTCCATTAAAAGCGACTCGACCAGACCCCCCCCCCCCCAAAGAGTCTTTCAACCTTGGATTTGACGATAGTCACAGACTGTTGCCAATGCATGAAGCTCAAAATAGTTGAACTTATATTGATTGAGGACCATCTCCAAAGATGTAACTAGCTAAAATCTGGGTCACGGGCAAGGTCTGTAGACGAAAAAAAAATTCATAGCGTACTGATGGAGGAATAAAAGTAACATGACGTGCTTCAATTGGTTCTGATTCAAAACACAAATTTAGTCTCATACTTTTGGGTCACATTGTGCCTATATGAGTTTTGGTTAAACTAGTCACGGTATTTCAACTGCATTGTGCGCGGAACCACACAGAACGAAGAAAACAGCGTCGAGGCTGCTTCGAAGTCTAACTTTGTTTTTACGCTCTAATGCGCGTAAGGCAGGACAGCGAAAATATTCTTGATTGGCCCACATTTTTCACCTCCCTCCATATGTCCTTTCACCTCTCTCATATGTCACCATTTGTCCCCTCCCTCATGTCCCATGAGGGAGGGGACGAATTCCCAGTTCTTTCTCTCTCAGTTTCTTTCAGCTGAGAGAAGAAAAGCCCGAAAACATTCCTATGTTCTGAAGGACTCCATCTTGCTCGATAGCAGCGGGTCTCATGATCCTTTACACCAGTCTTGGGAACAGGTGAATAAACAGTCGCGCAGAAAAAAGACCGGAATGACTTTGCAGGACTTGGCCTTAAGGGGCTACAAAGCATTCCTCGCCTCGATGACATGGCCTGATTCCCCTTTTTCTTCGTATCCTTGTCGATGCAAAAGGTGCACAGGTGGGCAAAGAACAGGGCCCTACAGCCAAGGTCCATGGCGTAATTAACCATCTGCTGAAAGAAGGGAGACTCACGGCGACGAGGGAAGCAGCGAGATAGGCGAAACCCATGTGGATGGGATGAAGAACCCCTCTTGCATTGGGCTCTGATGCGAACGCACTCAAGACGATGAGGAAGGTGAGCACGCATTCCAGTGCGAATCCCGCAAAGGGACTCAGGTCACCCGTCAGGGCTGTTAGGCCGAGGTTCCCCCTGTGACCAGGTGACGTCACCCTGCAATCAACAACCATCATTAACATCTGCTCCAAAACTGGTGTCATCGGCCAGGTTTTCAACGGACGACAACGATTTTTCTCCCTAGAATCCTTAGCCGCTTTTCCTTCCTTATTCCCGTTTTCCTCACTCGAGCCACTCCCAATTCTGTCTTCCCGCCTTCACCTGATTCATTTATTGAGTCGTCTTAGGACGCTAAGGGGAAAATAGAATAAATCGCGAGGAGAAGGAAAGAGGCGGGGATTCTTTTCCCTCTCCCTTATCACAGAGGTGCCTCACAACATGTATCCATGTTGCAGACACGGGCAATTCCAATGAAGAGAATAAAATTCGCTGAACTTTGAAGGACTTGGGTGCTACAATCTCGAGAATTGCAAGATGAATTTTGAAACTCGCTCGTAATTATTCATTACAGAGACGTGAAAGCGACTCCGCTATTTAAGTACTAATAATAGTATCGCATGAAATTAAATTAAATTAAAATAATTAATAATTATATAATACCTTTTAATTAAAAAAAATAGAAATATACAGGGTGTTCCATCAGTCAATTTATCGAGGATGTTTCAGCTCTTCTCAATTTAATTAATTTCATTAATGCTGTGTGATAGTTATTTTTTATTATTAATTGCCATTCTTGTTAAATGTTTCTATTTTCATTCTAGGTGGAGGAAGACGCACGCTTAAATTTTTTTCCTTGACATTTAAATTAATAACGAAGTTAATAAGAATTTAACATTGCTGAAAACTCCTCGGTAAACTGACTGATGGAACACCCTGTATATTTAAAAGAATACGTTCCAGCGAAAGCATGTAATTTTGTACAACAGATGGTAGATTCAACACTCGAAAGGCAGGGAACTCGGACCGACATTTTTTTATAATCGGGCCACGATTGAGAACCCACTGCCATCAGAATTTTGAAGACCGACGAGAGGTAATACTTTCCGGTTTCCTTTATCTAATGTCATTTGGGAATATCCCCATGGCCGTTTCACACTTGTACGCCCCCCACAACGGGAGCTGTCTGAATCTCATTCCTTTGCACCGCACCCATCCAAATGAAATAAAATGTCTTCCTTTTTCAAGAATTTCATGACTTCCTTTCAAGGCCGGGCTGTGAGACTCGAAGCGAGTTCTCGCCATATGCAGGTATATTCAAAGATGTGTCGTATGCATAGAATAGAATGGGCGGGAACTCTTACATTCTCTCGTTCTATTTTTGGAAAGGAATCGTATCGTTCATTAGATAAAGAGGGAGAGAGAGAAAGAGAAACAGAATATGCCTCGGTTGGTGCCAAGAAAGGAAAGAGCCTCACCCCCACTGACGGAAGCTCCCGCCAAATAAACGTCAATCAAGGTACCCTCCTTTCACATCTGTCTTTTGCAAGCAAATCCTTCCTTGACTTTTTTCGACCTAAAAGCATCTGTTTGAAAAAAAAACTTCAAATTCGACTTCTGAAATTGTGACACAAGTAGACCAGTGTTTCTTTTTGGCACTTCATCGAAATGTTGCAAAAGTATCCGATTTGGCGCCTTTCACAGCATCACTGAAAATTGCCACAAAGTTTTAGGAGGAAAGGAATATGAATTGAAGTAAGTAGTTCAAATTATCCCGCGGTTCTAATTGCCCTATTGTGTTCTATAAGTGTACGTCATATACCCTGCCAAAGGGCATATGATGGGGATTTAACATGGAGTTATTGCGAAGAGGGCGGATCCCGCCGATGAGAACATCTGCAGGCTGGGGTGGAAGCCCAATGACTATATGCCCCATGAGGTACAAACATCGATCCAGTCAATTACGAGGCCAACGGGAGTTACAGCCGGCTTCCCATCCCCGGGCGGTTGGCTGAAATAGAGCAAATAAGGATAGGTCTAGGGATCCCATGACGTGAATCTGGGGCAACTAGGATGGGAGTGTCTAGGAGTGAGGACTCTCGTCTCTGGAGAAGTCATCGTTCATCTCCAGGCAGACCCTCTGGGGAAGGAAGAAAGGAGAGGAGGATCCGATGACAGCGACGCTGATCATGCAGACACAAACACAGATGTCACTCTTCTGTCTCTCGCCTAGTTCTGTCGAGCTAGTCCCCCATTAGAGGAAGGCTGTGTGGAATGGAGGGTGGGGATGGGAAGGCGGAAAAACCGTTGGACGATGGGAGAAGTGTGAACGAGGACATCCAGGGATGGGCTAGGGTTCATTGTATCCATCGCCCTATCGCGTTTCAGCAGCTTTCGCATCACAGCCCAAACTTCACCTGCTGAAGAACGTTCGGGTAAAGGAGCGCCTTTAACAGAGGGGAATGCGAGGGTTTCTTTGCATGAATGGCTCTAATGTGAGCGTTTCTTTGTGCGAAAAATTCGTTACGCGAGGGACAAAATGTTTTGAGAGGATTTTTACCTGGCTCGGCCCCTCTCCAGCCACCGACAGCCATCTATCCCATCCCATTCCATCGGGTGGGGGGGGGGGGAAGCGGAAAACAAGCCAGGCAAAGCCCGGTGCATCAGTGGGCCTCTTTTGAGTTTATCATCACGCATGATAAAGGCAAAATAATTTGTAATATGAACAATGAAAGGGGGAGGGGGGGCAACAACAGAATGCCAGGAGATCGTGCGCACTGGAACGGTTGGTGGCTGGTTCGAAGGTGAGACCATCATCCGTTTTTCCGTGCTCCCCATATGTTTCAACTGCATTCGTTTGTTTAATAACATAATTGCTACTGGATTGATTTTCCCCCCAACCAAGTACATGTCATATATTTGTCAGCTATGTCGAAAACTTGTTTCGCAAACTTTTTGTCGCTTGCTTCCTCCCACAGTAACAGTTAATGGTTGATAATGGTAAGAGTCTTTGATTTCCACAGCAAACCTGAGTCTTCCTTTGAACCAGATCTGATGTCTTCTCGAGCGGAAATGAAGTCAAATCAGGTCAACCCATAATAAGTGTTGGGGCGAACGAATTAAGAGGAGAAGCAGGACCAGAGGAGCTGGAGGCGCGGTAGTCGTTCCCAACATATAAGGATTGTGCATACGCTCCATAATCCAGGGATGCACAACTTTTATTCCACGAAAGGTCAAATTGAGAATTTTGCTTATATTTGAGGGCCGCAGATACTACTAAAGGTCGTACCTGCCGTATCCATTTATTAAGGAGACTTTTGGCAATGCTTTTCGGAGACCATCTTCTCTATGTCCGGCTGAAAGGAGACTGCATGCGGCCCGCAGGCCCTACATCATTGGTCTGCGCTCAACTTATGATTGCGAGTGGTATGGTTGCTGATTCTCGTGTGGTTATCGACTTATGATCCCGGTGTGACCCTAGAGACGCTTTTACGATAACGACATTTAACGATAATGATAGTTGGAGATAGCTTCACGTATCCCTTCGCGTGAATGGAACAGATAACCCCTTGAGGAAATGAAGTTCCATTAGGGCAACCTTGCCTGAAGGGACCAGTATTTAGCATTTCGATTTAGGATGGATTCGTTGCTCGCTTTACTTACGATATTCACAGTCTCCAGCACTTCCTATGGTATTCAGATTCATCGACCGTTTTCGAACCGGCGAATCGAGACCAACCATAGTTTGCCATTTAAATTTTAAATGGGGTTTGACGACCGGTTCGATAATGTTATCGATGCCACGCTTTTCCACGCATGGAAAAGACCGTTATTTTTTTTCGGACCTTTTCAAGGTCCGAAAATAAAAAATAAAAAATGATTAAAAGCACTTTCCCGTAGAAGGCGATGTTGAAGAAGTACTACAAGACACCATAGCATGAACTCACCCAATTAACGACTCGATAGATGGTCATGAAAACGTGCTCAAAGCCAAGGCCTTGCAGACCACAATAGGTTCACGTGGTCGGCATGGCATCGGAAAGGGTTAAACCCGGTTCTACTCCTCTTCCGCACGTTCAAGAGCTCAATAGTAATCTCGACAACGGATCTGAATTCGTGACAATGGCGCATCAAGCCCAATAATGGAATTCTGCTGCATATCAGTTTATGGAGAAAACGCTAAATTAATGGGGGATATGAGAAAAGTCGGTTGCAGACTGAGTAACGACCAGCCCAGAGAACAGGTTTGTTTTTTTTTTTCATCCTGCACAGACGTCGTGCTCATTTACGAGCCCGATCTAGGTACGATCTATGTAATGAGGAGAAAGGTCTCCCACACGCTTTCTCGTCCCACAAGCCTCTTCTCTCGAAAATAAAACAAAAATGTTTGCCCTTCTGGCCAATTTACGTGCTTTCCTTTGCCACTTGACCAAGCCCGAAAGTTTTTTTTTAAGTCTATCAAAATTAAAAAGTTATGCCTAGTTAAAATGGAGTTTTGTATTAGATATTTTAAACGATTACATGATCAGAACCACGACATTTCCAAGCACCTTTTGCGTAATGTCTTCTTACTCTGACTTTGTCGAACTAAACTACGGAAAGGGCTGATAAAGAATATGGTGCGAAAGGAGACAGGACGTCCACTTCCGGAAGCCGAGTCCGTGGTTTGCCCCTACAAAAGCCAGCAGGTTATCATTGCCTTTCTTTGTCGCTCGCGTGTCAATTAGCTTTTAACCCCGACCACTGCTGAGTGCCACGTCGCGCCGACGGCCCTAAGGCATACCCTCCGGCAATGGGTCGCACGTTTTCGTCAAGGCAATATACCTATAATGGGATATAGGACAAACACCCCTAACCCCTTCTTCCTTTCAAGAGGCAGATGATGAAGCGGGGTTCGGCTCTGCAGCAAATAGGTTAGATGAGGGTCGGCTTCCTTTCTTTGGGATCGACCCTTTTTTCCCCGCATATTTCTCCTCTCGACCATTGTCGCAGTCCCATTGTCGTCCCATCCCATACGACCGGCATTCTTCGAGCCATTTCGCTTTCACGTTTTCATTCATTCCTCATGGATTCCGTCGGCACCGTGCGGGGTGCACAGCTGCCATGAGCAGTCAAACCCATATTTCACTTTCGAAAGGTACATCCGGGTTGCCGGAAAAGCACGAGAGCTCATTCTACATGCTTAGGTATGACCAGTCGTTCCTCCCCACTCCCATCAAAATTGGCATGAGTATGACAACCACAAAACATCCCCGACAAGGAACTGTCCCCGTCACTTGGGAATCCGCGTTGACAATACACAGTCACGACAACTAAGACTACTGCGCGACCAGCACGATCCTCGGCGACAAGATCGTGACGTAATCATTACTCGTTTGCAAGTTCGGGTATGATCACGAAGATCAGATCCTAATTGATTGATGTTTGCTCAAACCTTACCCATAGAGAAGAGCCGCTCCAGCGATAGCACCACCGGCTTGTGCAGTGACGTAAAGGCAACCCCGGAGAAGAGATACCCTCTTCAAGACGACGTGGGCGAACGTCATAGCCGGGTTCAAGTGAGCCCCCGAGATGGGTCCAAAACCATGGGTGAGGGTCGTCACCCCAACTCCTGTCACGATCCCGACACCCACATACGAGGGGGAATTCCCATTCCACGGGATGCACGACCCACAGACGAGGAAAGTCAGGAGAAACGTCGCAAGGCATTCACTGATGATACTTCGCCACAGTTCCAGGGACCTCAACTCTTGCTGCATGCTTCGTTTTTCCTTCCTCGCCGAAAACGGAGAGCCATTCCCGGACTCTAGTTTGTCCAGGATGGCCGAAAGCTGAGCTTCGATTGCAGTCGTCATCATCACCATGATCCTCTCACACCATCACTGGCTCTGTCACACCGTCTGGATGCGTCCCAATCCCAACGGCTGCTGTCGAGGGAATGATGGGCATGAACCCATGGGAGGGGAGACGAAGAGAGATGAATACTTCCCCCCATCCCCCCCGGGCCTCACGTGTCCCTTGGGAGGAAGAGGGCAAAGGAGAATAGACCTTGTGGGGCATAGGGAGGAGGAGGCGTTAAGGTCGAGAACCCCAGAGTGAGTAGGGGGCAGGTGGTGGCAGCTGCTGGGCCTCCCGGTCCCCAAAGCCCCGACAGATGCACACCACAGCCACACGCCGCATCCAATCCGAAGAAAAGAAGGACGCATGTGCGCCAGATGGCAGATGGCCCCCGATCCGGTCGTGCCACTCCTGCCTCTCCTCTTTTCAGAAAGGGCGCGGAGAAGACGAAAACACGCAACGAGAAAGGAGATCCCATCCACCTCCGGCCATCCATTCATTCCAGGGATTTTCTCTTTTTCGCCTCTCCCTCTTTCGACACAGGGATCGAGGGGGCAGGTAGGGCGGAGACCTTTCTTTCTTTCGCCTTCCGTACCTTCCTGTTCTGGAACGGTGAACAGGAGATGGAGGAACCTTGTCGGGCTAACACGAGGAATCCATCCGCTCGCTATCATTCTTAATCTCATTTTATCTCTTGTTTCTCTGCCCATTTTTTAATTGGGTGGAGGGGTGGGGTTGTTGATTCGTGACTGCTTGCTGTCCTACCTCTCCTAATTAGGGGTCATTTCCTCTGCAGAACAAGTACCTCACCCACAACAAAGGAGGAGGAAACCTCAGTCACCATGACACAGGATGATCGAAATGCGATTTTTAAATGGCCGAAAACGCGCCTTGAAATTGGAATCCACCTGCAAACATTGCACCAGCACGAGGAGGATCGTCTGGAAATTCGAGTCACCTGCAAGCTTTAAAGAGAATCTCGCGAGAGGCTCAGAACATGCCCCATTGCTCCGAGATCGCATTCTGTATTGATCTCACGCATTGCTATGCAAATACGCAGCTTAGCGGATGGGGCTCCAAGGGAATTTGACCCATTCATGCCCATTGAAGACGGATTAGCCCCGTGCTTAACACTGGGCTTTCACAGCATGACTTGTTGCAGGCCGAACTACCGAGACAGTTTTTTTCTTCTTCTTTAAAACTTATACAAACGTTGGATAGAAGATGGCGTTGGAATATATTCCATCTTTGGGAAACGTTGATTGGGGAACTGATTGCACCGATTATATTTATGAAGAAATTTGACAATAGAAGACTTCTTTTTGATACCAGGGATACCCGAATGACGAAAGTCTTCACTCCGACTCTGTCGGTGGGTTCTTTCGTTGCTTTTGCGGATACCAGACTCGGCCGAGTTATATGCTAATTACCCGATAATTTTCGCGTTCCACCTCTAACATTCCCCAGGTGACGATCCTCGTGATTTTTTTTCCAGATGGCATCCTGTGCGAAATGTTTCCCTTCGTCGGAATGGCAGACTCGAGCCAAACGAGGCCGGACGGAACTCACGGAATAATGGCATCAACGGCAGCGACCGTCTCACCCGAAGCCCAAGTCCCAATTGCACGGTTCCATGCGAGCATCGCGGGATGCATGCCGCGAAGCCGGACTCGCGAATCCCAAAGAACGGCCCGCGATCGCGTAGTCTCATGCGGTTCGAGAAGCTCCAACGGGTCACCAACTCCGGATTCGACCGATTCCTTCGCTTTCTGGCGTGCCCACTAGACTTGCAGACGAAGACATGTGCAGGCATTTCGCACGCAATGCTGCTGGGATCGCTTCCGAGTAGAAGGTAGAAAAAATCGGGAAATCGAGCCAATTTAATTATTGAACCCCTCGATTCGGTTGGTTTAGCCTCGCTGTCTCACCGTGCCATTTAATCCATTTACGTAGGCGTCCACTTCCATAATTAATGAATAATGCTTGGAAGTGGAAGAACTCGGCTCGTTCGTAGGGTAAGTAGATTAAAGCAATTTTTGGGGCTATTCGATATTTTCCCTCGTACTGTACTTGTACTTTCCCAGGAGAACCCTGTGGATTTGGGGCTAGCATGTAATGAATAAAACGATTCTTCGTCGTTTGATCAAATATCTAAACCGACGGGATTTTCTCACTCAAGAGTCATCTGCACGAGCATGTGAATATTCCTCTTTTCACTTTTTTTTTCTCTAAAAACTATGGTATCATTGAGTTGATCTTTCGATATTGGGCATACTGGGCATTAATTATCTTTTGCTGGGCATTAATTACCTTTTGCTGGGCATTAATGCATCCAGACGCTCATTTCTGCAGTCCAGTGATGGAGACATTTTTGACCAACGTGGAATATGGCACCTTGGAGCAGACTTTGAGTAAAACCAGAGACCGATGCGAGACCTTCCCAAGGCATGCCGTTGAATTCTCGGATCACTCTGTCGACGCGCGAAACCCCCCCGACGTGTTTTTAAAAATGGGTCCCGTCGTTTCGGAGCCGGATCGCGACGGCGAGAACCGACACCACCTGCGCCTGCAGGAATGCGAAAACCCCGGAAATCGAAATCGACATCTTCAACGGAAGAAGAAAAAAAAAATGCTCGGAAGGTGAGAGACACATGCGCGACCACGCCCGTCGTTACCACGGTGACGACCGACTTCGACGGAATCGCGAGGGAGTCGCTTCGTGCGATCCATTACGTTTCGAGGACGAACTCGACGAACTCGAACGGGGAATTTTACGTTCGAAAGGGTCTGGCAGGGAAACGAACGGCACGAACGAACGAGACGATGAGCTCATGCATTCGTGATGAAGGGATTCTATTCTCGTGGGAATCGCATAATCCACTTATCCATCACCAAAAAATTGATCTAATATCCGCCCCGGGTCTGGATGACTCAACGTAAGCTCATTACTCGGATCGTTACTAATTAGCAGAGCTCCCGAGATTTGGTCGGGCGATTGTCCGTTCTAATCGACTTTATTTTCTGGTCCATCTATTTTCCAAGGGGCCATTTGGTTTCGGGTCCAACGTTTCTGGGCTTTAATTGGCCATCCTGGTCGCTGTTTTTTTTTCAATTCGGACTTTCGTATGCTGAAAAAAAAACGGGAAATAGCATAAAGAGATAATTTAATATATAAATTCCAATCCAAGCGATTCAAATTTTCTTCTGTCTGGCGGAAAGCGCAGTCGGCGATTCTCTGAAGATTGAAAACTTCGCATTATTGGAACACGGAGCAAGTGCTTTGAAAAAAAAAAAAAAAGGGGGAAACGAACTGTCAATTCCGGGAAAAAAAAAACGTGGTTTTCGACAGCAACAANTAAAAAAAAAAAAAAAAAAAAGGGGGAAACGAACTGTCAATTCCGGGAAAAAAAAAACGTGGTTTTCGACAGCAACAAAAAAAATCCTCTGGTCCTTTCTTCTCTCTTCAAGGTTCCTCGTCACACCCACCCGTATTTCCCCCGGATGGAATCGAGTCAATTCGAAGCCGTTATTCCTCGTGGTTGCATTCGTGGCATTTTTCGCACGAGGGCGATTTGATCCCTCTCGTTTCTCCCCGTTCGGCCCGCCCTCGTCTGCTCAATTTCAGGCTTCAAAGAGACATCACACCATTCGTACAATGAGTGTCATACACGTTACAGCTTTATCATACACGTTACAGCTTCGACGGATGGGAGATTTGGGTCATCGAAACACGAAAGTATTTCAGTAATCCAAATCTTCCACCCATGAAAGGTAAGTAAAACGAAAGGATATTCTCTCGTTATATCCGTTTATACGAGAGGAAGAAGGCGAGGCAACGAGAGACGAGTCTTCATCTTTTGATCCGTCTCATGCCTGCCATTATTATAACATTATTATACTAACTGGATCTAGACCTTTCGCTCTCTTCGCTTCGTGTGTTCACTCGAACATTAAATTTCCCAGTCCGGGTCCAGGCTCAGAGCTTGAATCGGCAGAGGAACTCTGAGTGGGTCTACAAAGAAATAGGGAATACGGCTTCTCGTACTCGTCCGTGAATATTTTACTGTTCTTCAATATGGAGAAAGCCGACTCCATATCTCACCACGGTACACAAGAAAGACGGTTAAGGTGGAGAGAGAGAGAAAAAAAAGATATATGCTAAAGGCTATGCATCGGGATAAGCTAAAGTTCTGAAGTGCTAGCAGAGAAGGAAAGAAACTGGGAAGTGGAAAAGGATTACGAGAGTGGTCGTCGCGGCTCGAGAGAAAGGAAATACCGTTCTTTTTTACCCATTCCTATCATTCCCCAGAACAATTGTGGGAAGATGGAGGAATTCCTGTCCGAGCTGTGGACTATGGGACACTTGCACGGCGCAGGCTTCGACGGGAAATCATGTCGGACGACGACGGGGTATCTGAGGCATCGGGCAGACCACTCACTGTTCCTTTTATTTGACTACGACGCAGAAAAGCATAACGTATATAATAATGAAATTCTGAATGGAGATGTATCGTCGTTGATTCCCCTGCCTGGAAGCCGAAGAGGATTAAAGAGGATTAAAGAGGATTCATTAAGATTTCATCGATTCCTTCATCGCGAAAGACAGGCCCAGGCAGCGGCGTTGCGCTGGGAAGACTAGGAGTAGTGGGTTTTTTTAAGGGGGGGGAAGGGGGGGGGGGGGGGGGGGG